TTTTCTTTGGAACTTCATGTCACAGTCCTACCACCAGTGTTTGTACTTCTCCTTCCCTACAGCTTAAAACCCTGCTCAGGCATCTTCCATGTTGAAAAGAAACAAAGGAGTGAATAAAAAACAAAACCCTCAATTGTACTACACTATTAAAAGTAATTACCTCTGAGAGATTATGTTTTAAGTCTGTGTTTTTCTCTCTCTCTCTCTCTCTCTCTCTCTCTCTCTTTTTTTTAAGTGTACAGGTTACCTTTATAAATGGTATCAGGAGGAAACTCTCATAATATTTACAGCCTAATCTCTCATCCTCAGGACTCAGCTGCTTTTCAAAAAATAGCCGACCCTGGTTCCACCTGTTTCCTTCCTTTCATTCTCCTTTGGCCCACTCCCTCCCAAACTCCCCGTGGAACTGCTCAATGAAATGGCACCAGCATCCTCAGCACCAAACCACGGAGCTGGCACAGGGTCTCACCTTAACCTCTTTATGGCACTTGGCTTTATTGACCACTCCTTTTTTCAAATTGTTTTATTTATATATACTTAAAAATTATACATTGTTTGAAACATAAGAATATAACATTTCTAGAATATCAAACATACAGTGAACACCCATGAACCAATCTCCCAGCCTAAGAACTTGAACACTGCTATTACCTTTGTGTCTATACCTGTGTGCTTCTTCCCTATCCTGTCCCCTACCTCCCCTCAGAAGTAAGCAATATCCTAAATTTTTGTGTTCATCATACCCTTGTTCTTATGTATAGTTTAGCACATCTTGTTTCCATCAACAGTATATTTAGTTTTGGTTCTTTTTGAACTCTGGCGGGTTACTATATCATTTGTCTTTATAACTTGTGAATATTTTATAAATACTCTTGTATTTACTTAATACTTAAATCACAGCTGTAGTTTCACCTTCTAACATCTATCATACCTTTTCCTATTTTCTGTCTCACTGCTCAAATTCCTGCCTTCCTTACTCACCTGGATCATTGCAGGTAATCTTTTTGCATCTGTTCTCTGTGCTGGCTGGTGCAGTGTCAAACATGCATCTGCCTGCTTAAAATCTCCCCTGTGACTCCCCCTTACCTACAGATAAAGTCTGAATTCTAAAGCAGGGCATGAGAGACCAGCCATGTCTGGCCCCTGCCTCCTGCCCTTCCAGCTTTATCTTTTGCCACTCACTCCCCACACCTGAACTGCCTTTCTTGCAGTTTCATGAAGAGACTTGTCTCTTAGCCATCATACATGTTGTTCCCTCTACTCTGAATGCTTTTTGTTCTTCATCCTTTGTGTGGTGAGCACCCACTAATTCATCTCTCAGGACTGGCGTGAAGGCTGTCCTCTGAACCCTTGCCTCATTCATCCCCTCCCTCCTTTTCTTTATTATATACCTAGCAGGAGTACTCGCTTACTTGGTTGCGGTTTGTCTGCTTCCAGCAGATGAATTTGAATACAAGGACAGGCTCTTGGTTTTTTATCCCTAATGTCTGATAAATGAGTTAACCACTGTTGAATAAACGCATCAATGGAGACTCTAGTCGAGGTCCATGTTGACCCAAGGAAAAGCAAAAGCCTTCCCAGCCAGGCTTTCTCCTCCCAACTCCGGCAATATTCCCCATCCTGCCCACCCCACTGGGGTCTGCACATGCGCATGTATGCGCACACACACTGTGGGTTAACTGGGCCAGCTCCTTCACCTCAGCCCTGCCTCCCTCTGCTCCTCAGGTCTTTCACAGAGACCATGAGCTCCCTGTCCCCTGGGAAGCCGTGGCAGACCAAGCTGAGCAGTGCGGGACTCATCTATCTGCACTTCGGGCACAAGCTGCTGGCCCAGTTGCTGGGCACTAGTGAAGAGGACAGTATGGTGGGCACCCTCTATGATAAGGTGGGGACCTGAGGACAGAGATGTCCCACACATGTCTCTACCAGGCCAGCTGGGTGTGGCACTCATGCCACTCTCAGAACTGAGCATCAGATCAGGGTTCCTGGCCTTCAGTGGGGCCCAACACTCATCTTCTCCCTCAGTCCGGCTCAGAAGGTCTCTTCCCTGCCTATGTCCTGGGGTAGTTGTGAGTAGTGATAACATAATATGTGGGGAAGAGCTTTGAAAATCATAAAAGCAGCATTTCCTAATCTTTTTCTTGACATATATAAACAATGATTGTTTAGTACTTTTAGGTAAACAGAGGGGAGGCTGCTTATGTTTGGAAGCATCTGGCTGAGAGTTTCTGCTGCCCCGAAGGTTGAGGGGAGCATATCTTAGGGACCACGGTAATTCACTGGTGGCACATGAGTTGGGAAGCTCGGTTAGGAAGAGTTTTATTATGAAAATATCTTCAGGTTCCACCAGGGTCCTCTGCAAGTAGCTTCTTGCTGCTGGGGAAAGAACAGACTAATAGCCCTGGCATGCATATCAGATCAAAAGACACCTACTTAACCCTTCTCCTGTGCCTTGCACAAGTCACACCTGATTAGTCAGCTGTATTTCTTGCTTGTAGGCTATTGAGTTCAGGTCTGTTTTAGCTTATCCATCTAATGCCTCCATGACTAAAATTTTTGGAAGGTTTTGGAGGTTTTAGACTGCCTGGGTCAATTTTCCCTTCCACTGCTGAAGGGTTTCTAAGCAATTGACTAAATTAAACCCATGTTTTGACCGAGCATAAGGTTGGCATCCAGACCCACCTTTTTCAGCTCTCCCTGAGTAGCACTTTTCCACGTGCACATACCACAGGTGTATTCCTATGGAGGCCTATTTTATAGGGCAGTTTTGCATAAAACACATGCCATATTTCTGCTCTGAGAGTCTTGAGGCATTATCTTCCCACTTCTTCAGGCTCAGGAGATGCAGCAACTGCTCATACTAAGTGGCACATTACAGGCTTCCCTGGAACCCATAACCCCACGTCTAGCTCTTGATGTCTAGTCCAGCACTTGACTTTTGTGCTTGACCAGACTCTCCTGTCCCTCCTTAATGTCACTATTCTGAATAGCCTACCCACCCCACTCAGCCATCAGGATCCACTGCCATAGAGCCCCGCTAGGAACTGGAGACCTTCCTTGTTCAAAAGTCAGTAGCCCCCACATGTTGGCCTTGGCTTTGTGCACTAGAGTGAGCAGTGGATTAGAAATCAAGTGATTTGAATTCCAGTCCCAGCACTATTAGTTCTCTAACCTTGAACAAGCCACTGAACTCCCAATTTTTCCTTTCCTCAACTTATTAATGTTGAGATCCTCACAGGGCTATCGTGAAGATTAAATGAAAGAGTGTGTACGAAAATACTTTGAAAGCTATGAGACTTTACACAAATGGTAGGTAGCCTCAAGAGCATTTCCCCTGCCTTAGATGTACGAGAACTTTGTGGAGGAGGTGGATGCAGTGGACAATGGGATCTCTCAGTGGGAGGAGGGAGAGCCTCGATACGCACTGACCACTACCTTGAGTGCCCGGGTTGCTCGACTTAATCCTACCTGGAACCAGCCTGATCAAGACACCGAGGTAAGGAGGGCCCCTGGGAAAGAGACCCTGAGACACGTAAGAACCTCGGGAGTGTTTGTTCCTCCTAAGCCCTAGCAAATTCAAAGTTTGGGCCAGCACCATAGTTCTGATTCCTGCCATTCCCAGGCAGGGTTCAAGCGTGCAATGGATCTGGTTAAAGAGGAGTTTCTGCAGAGACTGGATTTCTACCAACACAGCTGGCTGCCAGCCCGGGCCTTGGTGGAAGAGGCCCTGGCCCAGCGATTTCAGGTACAGGCCTAGGAGGAAGCATTATGGCTTGGGCATCAGTGACTGCTGACAGGCTGCTGGGCAGCATGGGCTCCTGCTTCTACCCTAAACCTTCTAGCTATGCTCCACTCCCTTTTCAGGTAGACCCCAGTGGGGAGATAGTGGAACTGGCAAAAGGAGGATGTCCCTGGAAGGAGCATCTCTACGACTTGGAATCTGGGCTGTGTCCCCCGGTTGCCATCACCTTTGTTATCTACACTGACCAGGCTGGACAGTGGCGGGTACAGTGTGTGCCCAAAGAGCCCCACTCATTCCAAAGCCGGTGAGGCCCCAAGGAGAAGGCTGTTAACCTTGACCTCTACTCTGTTCCCCTTTCCCTTGGCTCCTCAGGCCTCCATTTGCTCCCACCAACTCCCTCTTTCTGCTCATTTGTAGGCTGCCTCTGCCAGAGCCCTGGCGAGGTCTTCGGGACAAGGCCCTGGACCAGGTCAGTGGGATTCCTGGCTGCATCTTTGTCCATGCCAGCGGCTTCATTGGTGGGCACCACACACGAGAGGGTGCCTTGAACATGGCCCGTGCCACCTTGGCCCAGCGCCCAAGCCTCCCACAAACCCCCTAGTCCAGTAAAATTTCTTCCATCTCATACTAACCCAGTCTTTGACCCATTATTGCCCTATACCAGGGGTCCCCAACCTATGGTTAGTTGTATAATTATTTCGGTATATATTACAATGTAATCAGAATGGAAATAAAGTACACAATAAATGTAATGTGTTTGAATCATCCCGAAACCACCCCCCTGCAATCCGTGGAAAACTTGTCTTCCATGAAAATGGTCCTTGGCTGGGCTCAGTGGCTCATGCCTATAATCCTAGCACTCTGGGAGGCTGAGGCAGGAGGATCCCTTGAGGAGTTCGAGACTAGCCTCCACAGCACTTTCCGAGGCAACAGAGTGAGACTCTGTCTCAAAAAAACAAAAAGGTCTCTGGTGCCAAAGAGGTTGGGGACCACTGCCCTACACCATTCTGAGAACTTGCTCAAACTTGGGAATAGTGTATAACTCAATGCTAGGTATTACCTTTCTTCACACTAACTTCTCAGCTTTGCTTTCCAAATCATTGAAAACCATCCATGTCCTTAGGGTTATATAACTTGACCAAATTCACAGAAGTAGCTAAAAAGTGACAGAGTAGGACCTTAGCCCAAAGTCTGTGCTGCCCCCCCCACCCCCAACTATACCCCAGTACAACTCCCTGGAAAAGATGGAGTATGGTAGTTGAGTGGAAAACAAGACATTTTTTATTATTGGGTATGGGGATGAGAGGAATGGGGCCGAGCAGGTGGGGGCCCTGGGAGAGAGTCCCAGGGGGCAGAGATTAGGGATGTTTCAGTAAAGAGGGGCAGGTCATGAGTAGAGCTTCCACCCCCAGCTGGGGGCTCTTGAGCCCGGCCAAGCACTGGGCTAAAACGTGGAAACTGAGCATTAACAAAATACAGAGGGATGTGGGTAATTCGGCCTGTGGACCAGCACTACAGAGAGGGGAAAGAAAAGTATCAGAGCCTGGGCCCAAAGAAGGCCACTTGGCAGAACCACACAGAAGCCCAGGCCCTCAGCTTCCCCACCCCACCCCCCAAAATTCAGCAGCCTGGCACACTCACCACACTGAGCAGGGCCCCTTTGTTGAAGGAAGGATGGAAAGTGATGAGCTGGGCCTGGGCTCCTGGCTCCCCCTGGATAATGCCACTAGGAGAAGAAAAGGTGAGCAGGCAATTGGAGGCAGAAGGGAGGTAAGGGTAGTAGAATGTGGGTTTGGTACGGGAAGGATGGTGATGAGCCCAGACCTTCTAGGGTCGTGCCCCGCACTTACCAAGGAAGAAGCTCAAACACAGGGCTATTTCGAGTGCGGAAAAGGAGAATGACTGGTTTACCATCCTGTACCCTTGCATTTCCTGTAAGAAACAGCGCCAGGGATAGGAAAATATTTGGAAGGCAGAGTTCCAGGCAGGGGCAGAGAACTACAGGCCAGGGCATGCACCTGATTAATGGGGATGATAGCTGTGGCCTGAACAAAGCCCTTCATCCTTGCCTCTTACCTTTCATGAGCACAGCCAGACGTTCCCCACTGGGGTCCCAGACCATGGAGTGGACCTCTCCCCCAAGTCTATGGGTGAAGACAGGAGGTTAGGATAGGAGAGCTCAGTGTGGTCCCTCCCACCTTCCATTCACTGCTGCTGCCTCAACCACTCAGCTCACCTCTCCTCACCATCTGGTGTCGGTATTGTTGTCTCAGACAGATCTGCCACAATTGTTGCTGTCTTTGCACCTCCAACACACCCCTTCCCCTCACCTGTGGATAAGAGCAGATATTCTTATGTGCAGGAAATGGGCCTCTCACTAGTCCCTGACCAGCTCATCACAGGCACCAACACTCCTGAAGTCCCCTAAATGTCTATACTTACCCCTCAGAGTAGCATCTTACAGAAGGTTGCTGCCCCCCTCTGACCACCTCAGATAGTCTGTATCCTAAAGCGTCAGCCTAACTCACCACAACGTTCTGGGAATGACAAGGAGTAAATCAGTGGCTCCCCCAAAACAGTGAACAGCAGTCGGTTTCCATCTGGGCTCCAGCAGCCAGTCTGAGGTCAGGGAGCAAAAGGCAGAAGAAGGGAAGTCTACAGGGGAATGTAGGAAGGAAAGAAGTAGAGGTGGCCAGGCTTGAGGGATCAGGGGCCCCTTGGACTCATCTCCCCAGCTTCTGTGAATCACAGTTCCCTCTTACCTGACAGCGCCCTGACAAAGTAGGCCATCTCTCACAAGTCCACATCTGGGTCTCCCAGACTCTGAGCCAGAGAGAAGCAAATGACAGCTTAGGGCCTCTTCATTCCAAAACTTGGACCTACCTCCCTCTGGCAGAGGTTCCAGGAGCCAAGTGCCTTTCTCTAGGGCCTTGGACTCCCTCTACCCTTCTCCCACTCACCGAAAGACAGCTGAAGGAGTGGTAGCCAGAACTTTGCTGCCATCTGGGGACCAGAGCAGGTTGGTAACCCCACCTCCTCGAAACCAGGGAAGGGGAACACAGGTCTCGGTTGAGACATCCCATACCTAGGAGAGTTCCGGGCAGGAGAGTGAGACAGAAAATTCAAGCACCCTATCATCTCACCATGGGCTGCCGTCTTTAGCATATAAAAAACCAAAGGAGAGAAAGCAGGAACAGGACTGTTGAGCATAAAGGTACATCGGTTCTGTTTTGAAAAGTCTGAAAGAGGCAGGCTGCCGTGATCCTAGCACTCTGGGAGGCCAAGGTGGGACGATCACTTGAGCTCAGGACTTTGAGACCAGCTTGAGCAAGAGCGAGACCCCGTCTACACCAAAAATAGAAAAATTAGCTGGGCATGATGGTGCATGTCTGCAGTCCCAGCTACTGGGGAGGCTGAGGCAGGAGGATTGCTTGAGCCCAGGAGTTTGAGGTTGCAGAGAGCTATGATTGCACCACTGTACTCTAGCCAGGGCGACAGAGCAAGACTTTGTCTCAAAAAACTAAATAAATAAATAAAGTC